GTATTTATTTGCTGCGGTGCGAACAAATAACACATATTCATTACACCTTTGCTCTGAGAATAGCTTCAGGGCCTTAAATAATCTGGTAATCAATTAAAGTGGCCACCAAACTCAACACCACTCTGTTCAGTAAATCAAGTGCTTGAGACTGGGATGCAGGTCATGCAGCTACTGTACTGCAGCAGGCACAGGGCTCAAGATAAACCTTTCTCAGCAGGACCTTCCTGACTGCACAATGGTTATAAGAAGCATTAACACAGCCAGAGGACTGGAAGAGCAGGAGCCCCAGCTACACACAGATGCACGTCTCCATGCAAAACAACAGCACATGGAGCACAAAGGCTGTGCCAAGGTGAAGCTTGGGAGAGGGATTTATATCTGGGCAGAGGGGAAAACAGCTGAGGGACCAGCAAAGCTGAGGCGAAGGTGGTAAGGAGGCAGGTGAGACATCCAGAATTGCTGAAGAAGGCTAAGCACTGGCTGAGATAGTTTGAGCTATGAGGAATCACTGAGCTTTTTGCTTGATTTATGCTGCATTCAGGGGAACAGCATTTTTTACATCTTTTGTGCAGACTGAACAGCACCAAGGAAAGCTTGAAGCTCACAACTAGCTTCACTACCAATACAAACAACCACCAAGACCAAAAAAGGTTAGGAATATCTTCAAACCATGAGTTGCCCAACAGCAGGAAGGGTATGTGCACCCTGTGGAGAGCATGATGGCTTTGCTCCTGAAGCTGTGCTGCTCAAAGTGATGCTCTCAAGACTGTGGACTGGAGAAGGAGATCAGCTCTATTTCCGCTCACTGCTGTTGCTGGTTTTATTGAACTGCGCCTTCAGGAAGCGACCATGCACTGCTGCCTGCGCCACGCCGGAGGGCATCCATGCTCTGCCTTGTCCTCAGCTCCCTCTCTTGGAGAAGGGAACAGTCCAAGCAGGACTGTCTCCACCAGTTATCAGCACCGGTTGTGATGGAGAAAGCTGCAACATCCCTGGCATTCCCCTTGCTTGCCCCATGCTGCTCCTTTTAGGCTTCATCCTCCTGACCCTTAGCTGGCCATCATCGCAGAGCCTGGTCCTAAAGGAGTCCAACCCTGCTGCTCCAGCTCAGGGGAACTCTCATACTTCTTACCTGTTTTTCCTGAAGCGAATTGTGAAGACAAGAAAGAAGAGAGCTAGCAGGACTCCTCCAGTCAGGAATGTCCATACGACTCCCAGGAGAGCAGCAGAGAAGGACGGAGAGCTCTTCCCACTGCGGTCAGATGTCTGCGGGATGCAAAAGGGGTAAGGAAGAAGAGGACATTTCTGGGGCTTCCAGCGAAGAAGGTCCCTATTCTGGCATGATCACTCCCATGAGTGCTCCTGCTCAGCCAGAAACCACATCTCCCAAATCCTTCTGTATGAGCAGACACCCCAGAATCAGACCAAGACACGCAGGCAGGGCTAGTGAGATGTGTGTAGACAAGACACATACTCTGCCTCTTGCTGAGCACAGGAACACAGGAGGAGAGGGCAGTCCAGGAGCCTCCTTCTTACAGCCAACTACCCAAATACATTATGAAGCCATATGAGTGACTCATAAACCTCGGGCAGCCCTGGTCATGGGAGAGGGGAAACTGGGGATGGTTCACCACAGTCTTCTTGAAAGAAACCTCTGGAGAAAGACCTCATGGTACCCAAGTTTGTAGTGTATTTCTTTGGAAGGTTGGGTAGAGCATCCTTGGCTCCCACTCTTACCCCTATATACAACAGATAACCAGCCAGACAGCTGGCATGACTGGGAGCCAGCAGCAGAGCTGCCAGTCGGTGCAGAAAACACAGAAAAGGGAGTGGGACAGCGTTTTTCAGATGCATTACGCAGTGACACACTGAGCTGGGCTCCACCCGTCTCCCAGCTGACTGGAAACTAACTTGGTCCTGGGTAGACATCAGCTGAGAACTGGCTTTTGAGGGACACTCCCAAAGCGGGTATGATTGAGGCACCTCTCTCCTTGCACACAAGCGACTTAGTTTTAAATCTCCATTTAAAAATATTCTCTGCTATCTGCCTAGTAACATGGGATGGATAAAATGGTCCTACAGGAAAAAAGAAACCTATTTCTGCTGTGGATCTAAAGTACTGCAGCATTTTTAACAGGGTGCGCATGTGTGGGTTCGTTCACACCTACTATATGTGCATGTTACCGACATATTTCTTCTTTTTTTTAAAAAGCATTATTTTTACTTAACTACTGGTGAAGCCTCTTTAAGAGGAAAGAGGAGGACGAAAATTGAGCTGGAATCACACACTTCCTCACTAACTTCTCTGGTGCTAAGTCCTTGCTCAGGTATTTAGTTCACCTGCATGCAATTTCTACAGCAGAAGACTGTTTTCCCAACAGCTGCCACTGCCCCAAACTCCCAATTCTTCCTTCAAGGTCTGAGCTGCTTCTGTTTCCAGCCTTGCTAGAAATAAATCCACAGGGAAAAGTAATGCAGTTGTTCCAAGCTGATGCCTCGTCTCCTCTCTTCCCCAGTTGGGCTCCATCTCTTCTGGCTAAGCAAGAACAAGGCACAGCCGGGAGAATTAAAGCCAACACATAATTCTCAGAACAAAAATGTGTCACTGCCACGTGAGCACGGCCAATCTGCAGGCTCCTAGCCGCTCACATGCTGGTGCCAGGCTGGTGGCAGGGCTGCTGGGTAAGGCAAACCCCTGGCTGGCAGAGGCAGCCAGAGAGACAATGCTGCTGCTGCTGCTGCATAGTGCTGGGATACAGCTGCACACACAGCTCAGCCCTGCTTTGCAGCAGTGTGGAAGGATCCCTGGGGAGACATTCATCTCCCTCCTGCAAACCCCTCCCCTCCTCCTCCTCCCTTACCCCACCCCTTAGGAGGGTCTTTGGGCTCTCTGGGGAATGAAGACCACACCAGACAGTGGAGATGGTCAGCCAGGTCCGTCTCCCCTTACGCCAGGACTCGCCGTGCAAAACCCCCATCAATTCAGCACAAATCAAGCCCACCTTCCCACCTGCCTGGAGCTCGGAGGGGCTGATGGGGCTGCTCAGGGCTGGTGTGAGGCTGTAACACCATCTCAATTCTGCAGTCTGCCTGGTAGAGCCTGAGGGTAACATCTGGCTTTTGCCAGTAAGGTGAGCAGAGTGGACTCAGCACCCTGGGCTCCCACGTTTCACTCCCAGCTGCATCCACCAACAGTATCTTTCCACCTCTGGCTGCCACCCAGAGTATTACAGCACCCTCTTTCCAGCAACCACCCAGTGATCAGAAACACCCTGTGATCTCCACCTTTCCTTTCTCAACATTCTCTCCCTCCAACTGCTGTTTCCCTGGAGGTTGATGCTACTTGAAGTTGATGGAGCGCTTCATCTGCTGCTGAGCAGAGTAAATCCTGGCCCTAGCAGGGGGAATATTAATTGTAAGGCAGCTGCCAGAGCCAGAGGAGCCAAGCAGCTTATGGTCTTCTAATTAAAGGCCCGTGGTCGTGCAGGCTGTGGTGGAGAGCCTTGCGGGCCAAGCCTCGCTGGTCCATCCAGCAGCCTCAGGTGAAACGGACTGCAACTAAGTGCACCCCGGTGTCATTTCTACTGGCTTAGTGGTAGGGGAAGAAGTACTATTTATTATAAATGATGACTTTTAATTAAATCCTGCTCTGTATGTATTTGAAAAGCACTTTGAAGTTCTAGGGAAAGGGAAAGGTCAAGGGCAGAGGAGGCCATCCCAAGCCACTCCTATGCAGCTGTCATGCCAGACAGTGCATGGGAGGGCTGCTGGACATAACTTGGCTGTCGTGGTTGCTTTCTCACCTTCTGCCTAACTGCTGGATGTCTACACAGGGCTTGTCTTGGAGGCCACCTCCGAACGAAACAGCATGGAGCCACCGGCTGTACAGGGATTACTTGGCAGCTGTGCCCCTGTGCCCCCTCCCTTTCCACCCCTCCACTCAAATCCACTTCTGGAGCAAAAGAGATGCCACAGAGAGCTCCCCGACCTCTGTACATACCACCGTGACAGTGCACAGCTCCTGCAGTGCACGCCGCTGCTGCTCCTGGCTGCCAAAACTGGAGCTGCCATCGCAGATCTCAGAGCAGTTGAATCCTGGCTCCATAGCACATCTCAGCCGTCATCCAGCCTGTACCTTCACCCCTGCCAGAAAGAGATGAGGGTCAGCTTTGTTCATCGAGAAGCCACCTTTGGCACATGCCAGGTCTCCCCACTGTCAGCAGGGTGTAAGGGAAGCAGCCTGGTACCCCAAGGCCGAGCTCACCTAAGCGATGCAGTGCACATCCAGAGCCAGGATGGGGAGCACCCACCTCCCAGCGCCCCTCAGGGTGTCCCTTGCGGGAGGGCGAGTCAGCGTGGGGCGCAGGTCCCCATGGAGCACAGCAGCATCTCGAGCCCTGCTACGCCACCCTGAAAACCAACACATGCTGGGGTCACAGCAGTGCCTGGCCCCTACACCCTGGTTGCAGAGCCAAAACCAGGTGCCATGCTGGTCCAAGATGGAGTGTGGCACTCTGACACCCTGAGTTCACCGCAGTTTTCCTCCATCAACGTGTTTTCCCGCATCGGTACAATTTCAAGGCATATTTTTGTAGGTTCCTCTCCCCATGCCAGCAATCACTGCCAGTTCCCTGGTGCGTTCCCTTCTCCCAGCAAAGATCCATCAAGTGAAGACAACAACAAACAGCAAGAAGTGTTGCCATCGCTTAATGGGACTTACACCCTGGCCTGGGTGAGCAGGGGAGGCAGGCGCTTGAATTTCACACATACCAAAGCGCTTTGGCTGACTCGGCCTGAGCGGCAGCCTGGCTAGCTGAGGAGCGGGCTGTTTATTAAGGAGATTTAAAAGCCTGGCACCTCGGTGCTCCCCATCCCTCCCAGCATTCTGGCTGCCAGGTATTGTCTCCTCCTGCTCTCCTCACACCACCTTTGCCTCTGTTCCCTGTTTCATTTCTCTTTTTGGTGAGGATTTTAATAGGCTTCATTACCATTTTAGACATGAGGTCATACTTATCCTCAAGCATGCTTACTCAATTACCATTGTCACCGGTTTTAATTAGCTTCCAGCGCACGACCATAAGCAACTCTCCCGACGTTAGCAGCTGGGGAGGAAGCGCAATAGCTCACTCCTTATTTGCTCTTAGCAACAGGTGGGAGGAAAAGAAATTATCCGTATTGTGCTCCTAAAGGCTGCTCCCTGGCCAAGCATCCCCTGCGCTCATGGCCTGCACCTGGCTGGTGCTCCATCCTTCCCTGCCACTACTCCCAGCACTTTGATGCCCTCTCCTCACCAGCCCTGTCTTTGGAAAAACTCTCGTCATTTGTGCACAAAGAAAAGGTAAATTAAAACAAAGTATGGTCACCAGGGCCCAGTCTGAAACTTGCTATTCTTCATGGGGGATAATCAGGATTCAAACTCCAGAAAAGCTATGGGTGTCATCCTCAGCTCATGTAAACTGATTTACAGCTTTAGAGAAGTCACTTACAAGTACCAGACTGAAAGCGTCAGGGTCAGTGGGACACTCATTCAACTTTAGCAGAGCCACCTCTGAAGAAACAACCCCGTCTCTCCTGCTGGAAGAAGGCCCGACGTACCGTGAGTCTGGACACCATCCCACCTGCACCAGAGATGTGCTCAGCATGACGTCAGCTCACTGCATCCTACAGACACACTCTCACACATTAGCCAGACTTGAGACTTTACACGCATGATCATAGAATCATAGAATGGTTTGGGTTGGAAGGGACCTTAAATATCACCTAGTTCCACCCCCCTGCCAGGGGCAGGGACACCTCCCACCAGCCCAGGTTGCTCAGAGCCCCATCCAGCCTGGCCTTGGACACTTACAGGGAGGGGGCATCCACCGCTTCTCTGGGCAACCTGGGCCACTGTCTCACCACCCTCAGAGTAAATATCTCTTCCTAATATCTAATCTAAATACACCTTCTTTGAGTTTGAAACAGTTACCCTTCATCCTATTACAGCACTCGCTGATAAAGAGTCCCTGCCCAGCTTTCGTGCAGGCCCCCTTCAGGTACTGGAAGGCTGCTCTAAGGTCTCCCCAGAGCCTTCTCCAGGCTGAACAACCTCAATTCCCCCAGCCTGTCCTCACAGGGGAGGTGCTCCAGCTCTCTCATTATCTTTATGGCCCTCCTCTGGACTTGCTCCAACATCTTTCTGATGCTGAGGGCCCCAGGGGTGACAAATGGACTTTTTTTTAAGAGAACTGGTGCAAACCAGCTCCATCAAGCCTGCCTCCCTCTCTAGTTTGTAGTAAACTGTGGTAGCATTTCCCCCACAGCAAGACCACCCTTTGGAGGTTTCCACGCGCTTCAGCACTCAGGCTGAGTGATCAGACAAGGGATATGGCTGCAGGAGATATCCAGCTGCTGCAGTGGTGAACGCCAGATATTGCAACAAAGGTAGAAGGGCAGCAAAAAGGAAACAGGCTCCAGGTTCAGAAGTACCATTGGTAAACGAGATAAGACATGGAGGTGCTGCATGCAGCGCCTGGGGATGCGACTAGAAGACCTGCAGGTGAGCACTGCCCAGCCTCCCAAAAAGCCCGACTCCTTCCCATGCCTCCATGCGTGTTTAAGGACAAGGGGTCTCCTTATAACCCCCTGTAACCTCCTGACATGCCAGAGAGGAAGCCCACCTGCCAGGTGGACCACCACCAAGGCTGGCACAAGGCCAGTAGACACAGCCCTCACATAGCTCACAAATTGAGATGTTTTTACAAGGATTACCAGTTCGGCCCCCATCCTCCTGGAAAGCCACCCCTTGGCAGAGGGCAGGAACCCCCCTTGGGGTCTCCCCAGTCTCCACCCCACTATTCCACAAGTGGGACCTGTGCAACACTGATAACAAGCTGAGATGAATTAGTGCACATTAGTATGTAACAAAGCGAGCACTAGTGTGGTTGTTGCTGAAAGGCAACAGGAATTTCCAGCCTGGCTGCTGCCTCTTGCGAGAGCCAGCAGGGATGCTGCTCCATGGCCTGGAGCTCATCCAAAGGGGACCAGTGCTGGGGGGGGTCACTGCCCTTTAGGGTGAGACAGGGCACTGGTTGGAGGGGGGAACAGATAGCAATACAGTCGAGAAAACACATCCTTAAAATGCAAGCATTTCTTGAAGGCAGATGTAAGGGCTTTTTGTGGGATTCGTGTGGGCTTTTTTCCAAGGTGAGAATTTTGGTGCATCACTTCTGGAGCAGAATAGTTTGGGTTGGAAGGAACTTTCAAAGACCATCTAACCCAGCACCCCTGCTGTGGACAGGGATATATCTTTCAGTAGATCAGGTTGCTCAGAGTCTCATTGAATCACCTTGAATGCTCCCAAGGATGGTTGCCTCTCTGGGCAACCAGCTCCAGTGCCTTGCCACTCTCATAAAATCTTTACGTCCAACTCAGATATACCCTGCTTCAGCTTAAAGTAGTCATCTCTTATCCTGTCACTAAATGCCTTGGAAAAAAGCCTTTATCTTTCTTATTTGCCCCCTTTAAGTACTAGAAGGCTGCTATAAGGTGTGCCTAAAGCCTTCTCTTCTCCCGGCTGAACAGACCCAAATCTCTCAGCCTGTCCTCATAGGAGAGGTGCTCCAGCCACTCAGTCATTTTTGTGTCCCTCCTCTGGACCCACTCCACATGTCTGTCTTGTGCTGGGAACCCCAGAGCTGGACACAGCACTGTAGGTGGGATCTCACCAGAGCAGAGTAGAGGGGCAGAATCATCTCCCTTGACCTGCTGCCCATGCTTTCTTTTGATGCAGCTCAGGATATGGTTGGCCTTCTGGGCTGTGAGCACACATTGCTGGCTCATGTCCAATTTTTCATCCAAGATATCCTCCATCAGGCTGCTCTCAATTCCTCCACCACCCAAGAAGAGTCAGTTCTCATTTGTCTTGTTTGTCAATCTAGAAACGTTAAGCTCCTGCCTGGGTAGAAAAGTGAGCTTGTAGAAAGAGGAAAGGAAAGGCTGAGGACTTTAGCAACTCCTCGTGCTCTTGTTAGCCTGAACATCACAGAGGGAAAACAGAAGCCAGAGAGTGGTGTTGACCCTAAGTGGAAATTGTTGTCATTTGATTTTCAGACAACAGATGTGAGAGAACACCACAAGAGCAGTTTCCAACAGCCCACACACCCTGTGGAAGCAGATACAGTATTAAATGAAGTAAAGCCCTTGCTCAGGCTGCTGGCTCTGCTTGCCTGTTTGTCCTCTACTTGCCAACCTTGGTCTCTGTGGCATTACATCTGCTGGCTGACTGGGTCATAGTGGCTAGTATTTGGCCACGGCTGAGCATCAGTGTGCATGTGGACAGGATCCAACAAGCCTGAAGTTGATAGGAAACAAGTCACTGGACCACATGAAAAATATTAGCACCATCATCTTTTAATATAAAAAAGAAGCACTGGCTTGTTAAAAACTGTATTTCGATAAAAGCAATTTGCAGTCATCTCAATGGCTGATCTTCAGGGCTGGAAAATCTATTTCTTTAGATCTTTCAAGACCCCAGATTACTTATCTACCAATGCTGAGAAACCATATACTAACACATAACTATCCCTCAAAAAAGATGCAGTTATGTCCAAATGCATGTCTTGACTCTCCAAGTTTCTTCTTCCCCTTCAAAATCTTTCTTTTTAAAAAGCAGAGGGAAAAAAACCCCACTTAAATAAGCTGAAGAATTGATGCAGCATGTACAGACCCTGAGCAGGCAGAAGGAACATTTCACCTCAGCTGGTTCCTTTTGATCTAGTGTTGAAGGACAGACTTCTTCCCAAGGAACAAAGTCGCGTCCTGGCTCAGTGAATCAAAAGGTGCAAAACTGAAGATGTCAAATCACGAACCACAGAACAATGGCATTCAGAAATGTGCCAGTTTTCATGAGCCCTGCAATCCCATCTGGTCATATCAGAGAAATGGCACGTGTACACCTCCGCAAGGGAAGAGCAAAAATCTCTTGGGAAGAAACTTTTGGGAAGACTGCCGTGTGGCCAGCTGCGACCCACGGCTTTGCTGCCGTGACAGAGAGCCGGAGAAGAACAATCAGGCAGGGAAAGGAGAGGTGTGCAGGGAGCAGAGCTGCTCCTTTGCTGCCTTGGG